AAGGGAAGAACTGCGGGAGATCAATATTAGTACAGAAATGGTGCTGGGAAAATTGTTGGGATTGAAGGCTGATAAATCCCAAGGGCCTGATAATCTATTTCCCATAGTACCTAAGGAAGTAGATCCAGAAATAGTGGACGCATTGGTGGTCATCTTCCAGGATTCCATAGACTCTGGAACAGTCCCTGCAGATTGAAAGGTAGCTAATGTCACTCCAATATTCAAAAAGGGAGACAGAGAGAAAATAGGGAATTATAGACTGGTGAGCCCAACATCAGTAGTGGGGAAAATTCTCCAATCCATTGTCAAGGACTTTATAGCAGAGCATTTAGAAAGCAGAGGCAGAATCAAACTGTCAGCATGGATTTATGAAGGGGAAATCATGCTTACAAACCTGTTGGAATTCTATGAAGATGTAACTAGTGGAGATGACAAAGGGAAGGCAATTGATGTGGTATATTTGGACTTTCAGAAAGCATTTGACAAAGTCCAAAATAAGAGATTAACATGCAAGATTAAAGCGCATGGGATTGGGGGAAGCGTATTGAGATGGATAGGAAACTGGTTGGCAGAGAGAAAACAAAGAGTAGGGATTAATGGGTCCTTTTCAAATGGCCAGGCAGTAACTAATGGGGTCCCACGGGGATCGGTGCTGGGACCCCAGCTATTCACAATATATATCAATGACTTGGATAAGGGAACAAAATGTAACATCTCCAAATTTGCAGATGATACCAAGTTGGGTGGGAGGGTGACCTGTGACGAGGATGCAGAGATCCTTCAGCATGATCTGGACATATTGGGTGAGCGGGCAAATCAATGGCAGGTGCAGTATAATTTGAATAAATGTGAGGTTATTCATTTTGGAAGCTAAAACAAAAAGGCAGATTACTACCTGAATGGCTGTAAAATGGGAGAGGGGAGTGTGCAGTGGGACCTGGGTGTCCTTGTGCATCAGTCGCTGAAGGTAAGCATACAGGTGCAGCAGGTGGTAAAGAAGGCGAATGGTATGTTGGCCTTCATTGCGAGAGGTTTTGAGTACAGGAGCAGGAGTGTATTGTTGCAGTTATACAGGGCTTTAGTGAGACCACACCTAGAAAACGGTGTGCAGTCTTGGTCTCCTTTTCTGAGGAAGGATGCTCTTGCTCTCGAGGGAGTGCAGCAAAGGTTTACCAGGCTGATCCTGGGGATGCCAGGTCTGACATAAGAGGAGAGATTGACTAGGTTAGGATTGTTTTTTCTGGAGCTCAGATGAATGGGGGAGGTGGGTGAAGAGGAGATCTCATAGACAGTTATAAAATTCTAACAGGACTGGACAGGGTAGGTGCAGGGACGATGTTCCCGATGGTGGATGTGCCCAGAACCAGGGGTCACAGTCTAAAGATTCAGGGTAGACCATTTAGGACAAAGATGAAGAGACATTTCTTCACCTAGAGAGTGGTGAGCCTGTGGAATTCATTACCACAGGAAGCAGTTGATGCTAAAACATTGAATGTATTCAAGATGCAACTAGATATAGCACTTGGGGTGAATGGGATCAAAGGTTATAGGGAGAAAGCAGGATGAGGCTATTGGGTTGGACGATCAGCCATGATCGGCAGAGCAGGCTCAAAGGGCCAAATGGCCTCCTCCTCCTATGTTTCTACAAACAGGAAAGGCCTATACCAGCAGCAATGCAGTTTGACAGTCTCCAGAAGAGTCATGGCAGGGGAGAAGCTGTTGTACAAACAGAAAGCTGTCAGAGTTTGAGGTACTGACACCAAGAAATAAGTGAGCTTTATTTGTGAGTGCGTGTTAAATTTGTTTAAAGCTCTCATAAAGGAGGCATAAACTAAACAAACTAGCATTGAGTGATTGCAGGGCTTTGCCGAAAGAAATCAAATCCATTCATGCTAACTGAAGAAGCTTTGAAGCTAAAACAAGGTGCCCCTTTGCTGAGGTTTGAGTATCTGTAAGGTTGCTGTTCAGAGAAAACAGCACTCTGGGCCAGGCAGTGGTCTATCTTAATATCACAGGATTCAATGCAGAGACCCAGGCACCTGGGACTCAAAACCTGTACTGCTGATATTTGTTTTGTATGTAATTACCTGTTAGATTCTTCTGTTAAAGGTACCTTGGCAGCCTCAGTAACTGACCATGGTAAGCCATAAAACTTGTGATCTAACAAGCCAGGTTTCACTCAGATCTGATATTACCATCAGCTGAGTTTTTTTCTTTATTCTTTCATGGGATGTTGGTATCACTGGTAAGGTCAGCCCATCCCTAATTGCCTTTGAAGCAAGTCTCATTCGGCTATTTCAGAGGGTAGTTATGGGTTAACCCCATCACTGTGGGTCTGGAGCCACCTCTAGGCCAGACCAGGTAAGTACAGCAGACTCCTTTGAGAGGATGTTTCAGAGATAGTAGGAACTGCAGAATCTGAGATAACAA